AGTTGCACCCTTGACGGGCTGAAATCTATTCAGCACCCAACCCAAGTCCAAAGTGCATGATCTGATCCTACCCTCATACCAAGCCTTGACTGCACACCCCCAATGAACTTCCTGCCAGCTTTCTCACTCTGTCAACTGTGCCTTCTGGCAGAAATGGATGATCTCCAAGTCCTAGACTGTGGCGAGCGTTGATCAGCATCTTGAGGATTTGTCTTGTTGTGGGTTCATTGTCACCCCTGTAGGCGATTGCCAAATACCCAACAGTTTACTGAAATTTATCATCCTGCGCAATAAGGCGAAATTGGTTCTTGCTTGCTAATGGCACAACATGAATGAACCCAGTCTGGCTGTCAGTTGCAACTAACCAATGTACTGCTCTTGCTGACTTTGTCTCTGAATCTCTTGCTCTTGTGTAGCAAAAGTCAAAGGTTACCTCAGGTATACTTCTTCTCTTTACTCCATCTGTTCTCTCATGGCGATCCGGGCGCGCTTGACGCTCAATGCACCTTACACAATTGGCATATGGCATATGCATCAACCTGTGCCTTGCCTGAGTGGCTTCATCTGGCATCTTTGCCACACTCTGTCCTAACGCCTCTTTTGTTTCCTGAGCTTTGCTTCACTCACCAAGCTGTTGGTGTTCACAAGTTCCAACTTTTTGTTATTGCGATTGAGGATCTTTGCGTAGACCTTCCCCTTAAAGCCACTGCCTGAAACGCCGACAAATTAACACGCTGCCCTTTGAGAGCTGCCTAAGAAGAATCCTCCGTCAACTCTATTCCATTCACCAAGACCTTATCTATATACACCCATTGGGCTCAATTGTAATTCACATTCAAGGTCTTCATCCTTCTTTTCTTCTTCTTTCTGACCTTCTACCTGCTTGCCCAGTGGAGTAGGGGTTCTAGGGCCTGCTCCACTTCTTTCTCAGTTCTCTGTTCTCAAGCTTTGGATCCTGGTGCAAAGAATCGAATATCTTCTGGCGGCGCCCGCTCACAACTGAAGTTTGCGATTGAAGGAATGACTGCATCATCATCAAAGAACTGCTCATCAAGTTCCTCCTTTTTCATCATGCTTTCACAATATTCACGCATTAGCCATCTACCTCCTCTTTTCACCAAAGTGGTTCTCATCAACTCTGGTGATTCTTCCGCTTCTTTCTGGAATGCCTGCGAGGTCCACAATCTTGAAGTCAATAAGCTTTCAACCAGCAGTCCATGCTCATTGAAATCTCCAACCTGATTCCTTTTCCAAAGCTTCAGGCATTTGCGCCTCCAAGTAGCTGTCATCTTCATCTCGAATGACTCTAATGCGGCCTTGAACTGTCAAAGAGCGATTTTGCAAGTTGAGTAGTACCTTCAAGTCACCGTTCTCCAACATTTGCTCTCCGCTGCTCAATCCCCAACCATGCTCCAGCAGTCGTCCATAGCACAGTATGGGCTGGTTCACCTTCGAACTGAAGATCACATTCTTTTTGAGAAGAACTTCACGCCCATCAAGGTCGCGCAAGGACATTTCAACACTTTTCGCACCCCCAGTCAGGATACGGCTCCCTGCGCATCTTTGTCCTGCGTTCCAACTCTCCTTCCCCATGATCTGCCATACTCAGAGGGAATAATGCTACATCAGCTCCACTATCAATAGTGATGGCCCAAGTCTCCTCGCTATGAGTTCATCATCTGAAACGTCAATGAGTCAATTTCCTCAAATTTCAGGATCTCTGGTAGGGGCTTTTCTTCCTGGAGCTCAATGGGGGTTACCCTTATCCTTGCTCCGCTACCATGCGAACTTTTCTCCTGATCAAAAAGGGCTTCAGTCGAGTCAACCACACAGAGTGAGATGCTAATGATGTCATGTATATACTCTGTAGTCTGCACTGAACATGCTACACACACTCATGGATATGCGTACTGATGTGAATGCGGTGCCACACGCCGGCCTAGGGTTCCAATTCCTAAGGGTACAGGTAAAGAAACCAAAAGGAAGTGGAGGTCCATCAAGTTCAGCGAGGCCATCAATGCCAAAGGAACCACCGGACGATCGAGCGACAGAATGACGTCGTACGCTCACATCTGCAGTGCAAGAAAACATCAAAGTTTCAACTCTGCGAGGTTCTTGGCTTAGCCTCACGCCATGCAGAAAATAGGAAAGTTCGCAGGTACGCAGTTGGACGTCTCCAACTGTATCACAGGTGACTGATGAATGTCTTTGTTAGCACCGGTCTCATCAGCACCCCCGGTGCCCCCTGCACTAGAAAACCAAAAGCGTAGGAAAAAGGCCACATCAAATCCAAACAGGATCCCTATGACTCCAAGGGTTACACACACACACAGACATAGATTGACTGATTGATTGAGAGAAAGAAAGAGATGCTGATTCGCCCTTGCATCACTACACCTCTCGTTCCAGTTCCAAAACAAGGCACGCATCTCTTGGAGATTCCGCAGCATGTTCTCCTGACAGCTTGATGAGATGCACGTGTAGTGCCCGAAAACGAACTGCGATGGCTCTCCTCTAGTTTTTGGCATCGTTCGACCACCTGAATTGCCGACAGTGAATACTGCAGTTCATCAACCAAGATCTGCAACCAAGGGACTGTACCGCGGGTGGCCCTGCTTGATTGCCATCTGCCCATCACCTTAAATGCTTGTTGTACATGGATCTGGCGGAAAACAACAAGGTCCATAGTCAGGCCTCAGCTACCTGTGTGGGCACAAGGAAGGTTGAGGGGAGGCTTCAAGGTAGCATCTTGGACCAAATGAAGCAAAAAGACATGCATTGAAGACATCTTCAAAGGTGCCTACAGATTAGAGCCGAACCCCTGACACGATTCTGGCACCGCACGCTAAGCAAACACAAAGCTCTGATTAACCACCTGACCACAGCCCTCGGTCTCCTCTCGGCCGACACAGCTCTTCCAGGAAGAGCTGTGTAACTCGCACGCACCTGCGCACAGCGTGGGAAACAGATCGATCTGTTTAACTCGGCTGAAAAATGCAGCCCCACGTCCGATCAGCAGCTGATCTCAAGAAATGTCCGGCCTTCCAGTTCGGATTGCTTGGTGTCGAGCAGCGCTGGCAGATACACAACACCGGAGTTGGACTTTGAAAGAAATATCAAAAAAGCAAGAACACAGAACATGCAAGCACTTTTGCACTTTGCTCAAGCCGGTTGGTTTCCCAGTGGCCCTCTTTGGGTTGCACCGATAATGGGGTGGTATAGAATCCAGAACATGCAAGAACCGAATAAAGGCAGCAGGTGATAAGGCCTTGCTGTTCTTGTGACATTTCCTCACCAACCTCAAAAAGCATCAAACTAATACCTCGGGCCGGCCTGCACCCCTGGATGCAACTGATCATCTTTCAGTCTTCCTGCGACAAATACGCACATGTGTCAGTATATAAAAATAATGCAAAAAAAATACAAAAACAAGGAATAAACGAGTACAGAAACCAAAGTCCACACTGATGTCAGGCCTGCTGATGTCGGCCTGGCTCTTGGAGCTGCCTGGTTCTGCTGCCGTGCTGCTTTTCTCGAAACGAAACGACGATCGGTCCAAGGGAATCGAAACGGAGGACTATAGACGTCAGTGGGCACGACGAAGACGAAAAGCTGCCTGTTCTGTGAACATGTTAGTGCCAAAAACCTGCTTGGGAGGATCGCGGGATTGCGAGCGACCAGAGGAATTGTCACGCCTGACCCTGGGGCTGTTGATGCACCGGTGTCAGAAGAGTGATGCAGGGCACCATCAGAACAGAACACGATGGTGCCCCAAAATTGTCTTCCAATTCAACGGGCACACAGGCCTTGGGCGCTGGCATGGCAAGATTCTATTTGCCAGTAGCAGAATGTAAGAGAAATTGTGAGTGGTGCAATACGTTCTGAGCAGACCATCCCAAGATTCTGTGCTGCACTTGTTGCTCCTTCCTCATGTTGACCCGATCAAACAAGAGGAGTCGGGTGAGTTGAGGATCGGGTGCTGAACTGGCAACCCATACGTTCTGGCCGTTCAGTTCAGCCCAGCTTTCTATTTGATCTCGCTGCTTGCTGTCCGGGTGCTGAACTGGATTCCCGAGCGATGGATTTCTATCAAACAAATCTTCTCCTTTGTTCAATCCTATGTTTTGGCAAATTCAGCTCAATTAAAGAGCTTGAGCTAGTCGGGCAAGCACCAAGTTTGTCAAGTCTCATGCATTCCAGTCCAGTACAGAAAATATATAAGTCTTCAAAGTTCAAGCTTCGAGACACACTGCACCCACAACGTTCTTTGCGCTTGACGGCCGCCCATTCTATCTAGACCTTCGGTCAGTCGCTTGACGTCCGGCATGACGGGATGCCCCTGCTGCCCACAGACGGGCAATACAGTTTGCACGCTGATGATCTCGCAGTCTCACCCGAACGCCGTTTCCCACGAACTCTGCTGATGATCTCGCAGAACTTCGGTCACAACTCTGTGGAAGCGTTGTCCACCTAGGATGAATTCAGCTCCTGATTGTGGATTGGCCGGGTGCTTAGGGTGGGACAGTGATATTTTCCATCAGCCTGCGGAAGTCCTCTTCTTGGTACCATAGACCTTGCCGAGTCCGGAAGTGCCGCCTACAATGCAAGATGCTTGCCCAAAGATGTTCAGCATCTCCTGCCTATTCTCGTCACAAGTACCACCAAGACCTTGCTGACGGGCCGATCTATTCCGGAAAACATGAGGAATGAATGGTTCGATCTCAACAAGTTGAACCAGTGAAAAAAACGTGACTCAATCCGCGATTCGCTCTGGGAGCCGTACAAAAGAAATCAGCTGCCAGAGCATGGTTTTCCTTCCAAGATCGAAAACGAAACCAACGGAATTTAAGCGTCGAGACGAAAACGACTCCAAAGTCAGCCTCCAAAGTCGAGGATCCACTGGTGGAAGATCCGGAAGCTCCTCAAAGGCGAACGAGAGTGGAGAGTGGAGAGTAGAGATGCAGCAACATGGTCACATGGTGTAGTATGGTGTTGTTTCATCAGAGGGAGCCAAACACTGATTTCGGTGTCCTCCTCTTTGCTCGGGGCTTTGGGCGAAAAAGGCCCCAAAGAACTGGCCTTAACCGGACAGAGGACTGGCCGCGGTCCTCCGACGGGTTCTCGTCCACCGCGGTCTCCAATTCACCTCCTCGCAAGCATCGACCTCAAGTGACAGCAAGAAACTGACACGCTGGATTCAACCAGCGGATCTGCGGACCATCAGAAAGAGGAAGCTCGTCTTTGCCCGCTAGCACGGTCTGAAGTGGCACCTGGCTATTGTTCAAAGAAAAACAGCCAGGAGATGGTCCAGAAGAAAAACAAGATGTCTAAGCTTTATGCATGCGGATTTCGTCAGAGTCATATCACTCCTTGCTCAAGTAATGAAAGTCGCTTCATTTTGAAAGCACCGGAACGGGCAGCGTTCAACTGGTCAGCGATGCCAGAGCGATCTAGCTCTTCTGACATGTCGTTTGTGGCTTTGTAATCCACCGCCAGGTCAGATTGATGCGCTGGCCAACAGGTGCATCCTCTTCAGGCACTCGATGCATATAATGCTTCTGGGTCATTCCTTCCATGGTGCAGAGGTCGCCATCTGCAAGCTGTTGAGATGCACCGAGGCACTCATTCTCCTCGGGCCAGTTGAGCTCCAGCTCAAAACGACGTGTGGCCCCCAGAGATAAGGAAATGATCCGACAATCCTGAAACTTTCCTTGAAATAGCTCTTCATCATCAGCATGCCAACCAACCATCTGTGTGTTGTCTTCATACAGGTTCAAGTTGCAACTGTTGGGAAACTCACTCAATTCCTTCAAACCGCAATGAGGCATTACTTCCTGCATCAGCTGAATCATCCAAACTGGATACGGAGTTGGTTGGACTGTCATTCCACCATACTCATAAGTGCAGTTGAAGTTCGCTGCGACCATCCATGCAGTCTTGCGTGGCATAGGCCCCCATCGGGTGGCAGGTTGCATCCATTTTGTTCCAACTCTTACTTTCGCAAACCATGAAGCACAAAGAGCTTTCCCGAATGGATTCGCCAGGTGCCCTGCGAAGCTGCGTCGAGACTCGTCTTTCAAAAAGTAGGTCCATGGATCATCGGTGGTCTCACCAATCAACTTGAGCTCCTTCTGTGTACGACTCTCCTCCCAGTCTTTCCCTGCGAGCTTCGCAGGAGGTGGCTCTTCATGTTTCCAGAGCCTCTCGGTGGGGTCCTTTTTCTCGCTTTTGACACTGGGCCCTCCGTCGGGCCCGGCAACGTCGGGCAACGATCTTTCACTCTCATCGATCTTCAGGCGCTTCGCAAGATTCTCCTCCTGCACTGCTAAGCACCTGGCTCGCGCAGCCTTGAGTTGTGCAATGGCATCAGCCAAGGTACATCGCGGCTGGCCATATGGATGGCGCATTCTTGAGGTGAGTACAAATGTGTTCTAGAGTCTATTACATAGTCTACAAGTGTAAAAGTGGTTGCTGCACTCATGATTCTTCTTGTGGATTGATGGGTATCCACAAAAAGTCCATGTTGCCATGTCACATATTCTTTGAGCAAATACATGAACCATTGGTTCTAGCTCTGTCTCTCTTCCTAAACGTCTCTCTCCCGTTGTCTCACTCGGTGAAAATCATCAAACGGTTTGGCCGCCCAACCTTCATGCCAGCCGCACGGCAGTGGTGTTCCAAGCCTTGGAACAAAGCTAGCACCGAACGGAAAAGGGAGAAAGCAAAACCTGCTGAGAAGACAAGAACACAAGCACTTGGCCGCTGGCGACGCAGCTCACCCTGAGATGAACTGCAAAGTGGCAGAAGTGCTGTGATGAACTCCCGTCACCAGCATTTGACTGTTTTCAGACCAAGTAGCCAGGACAAACATGAGTTGGCCATCTGATTGCCATTCTTCACACTCCTGAAGCTGCTCGTTCACACAGGTTTTATCTGCAAACAACAGCAAGAAGCTACTAGGTGGAGGCCATCGCTATTAGGTTGGAGGCCTTACTAGTAACAAGAAGCTACCAGGTTGGAGGCCATCGCTACTAGTAAGTAACAAGAAGCTACTAGATGGAGGCCATCACTACTAGTAACAAGAAGCCACTATGTGGAGGCCATCGCTACTACTAGTAACAAGAAGCTACAGGTGGAGGCCATCGCTACTAGGTTGGAGGCCATCGCTACTAGTAACGAGAAGCTACTAGGAAAAAAAGAAACAGGTTTAACACCAAGACTCCTCCGGCGGCAAACGCTCAATCCCTGCCCAATGGCGCAGCGCCTGCCATTCGGCAGAACCCGAGAACACGCGAGACGGCGTGTGGTTGTTGTACAGACTTCGGTTTCTCGTAGCGCCTTTGACACCAAAGGCCGTTCTAAAGCCTCACCAAAGACATGTTAAACAGATTCAAAGGGTGAGAGACTCCGCAGATGTCTCATCCGTGTGCTCATCCGTATGCCACATCTCAGTTCTTGACTCCGTGGAATTGCTCGTTCTCTTTGAGCGACTTCAACGCTTTCGCCACCTCGATTGACGAGCTAAGCGACCCCTCGAGTCGAGACCTCGACAGCAAAAACACTATTGTGGCGAGCACCTGCACAAGGGCATCATCAGAAGCCATGATGCAGATTATATGATGCAGACAAACGGAGCTGTTGTGAGGTTCAAAGACTTTCTCAGGTTGGATGGAGTGAAGAAATCATGCAAACCAAGAGTCAACCAAACTTTGCACCAGCCATGGTGGCAATTGTGTTGCACCATGTGGCACCATTCTTGCGCGCCTTTTGCACCACACTAGTGTTTTTGAGTTTACTGTATAAAAGCAGGCTTGACGGCTTGGAGTGGGCGTGCATCTTCTCCGGTGATTCTTCCCTCACCTGGTGCATGCCATGCCGCCCTTCCAACGAATCCGCTCGAAACCGCTCTCCAGTCGGATGATTTTCGCAAATCCAACTGCTTCACAGCCTGCGGAACGGTCGCTCCAGATCGTTTGTGGAGCGACCCATGCAAAGGCTCCAGTGTTGGAGCGTGAAACTGCGGTTTGTGCTGCCGGAATGTTCCGTTTTGCCATGTCTGAAGTGTCAGTGCTTACAAGGCCAAAGCAAAGTATCATTTTCGCACAAACCAGCAAAAAAAGGTGGCAAGTCCCACAATGGGTGAGACACGTTCGCGGTCTTTGCCCAGGCACGCCAACGGAATAGACTCCCTTTCCGGTCAACTACAGCTTTACCACAAACCTGCAACAAAGGATTAGAAGGATGGCAAAAATGGCCTTTGAGGCAGCACACAAGCTGAGCACCAGGCTGGAGTTATACATGATGCCCATAGAACAATTGGCATTCTGCTCTCCTCAAATAGCAAGGCGGGTGCATGCTTACGAGCTCTGTGAAAATGCTCATTTCAAAGCATAAATGTGGCGCTTGTTTGGTGTTGTGGCTGTCAGATCCCATAGCCTGGTTAAAGGTTCATTGTTGTGAATCGACCTAGGAGTGTTCATGACTTTGGATTTCGAGGTCTTTGACTTGAAAACCCATCTTAGTGGCCATGCCAATATACACGCCAACCTGAGGCTGTGACTAGTCACTTCTCTCCAGCATCTTCAATCGGCGCCCACCTGCATTTCAAGAAACAAACAAAACCAAAGTGGGAACAATCTGATGGAATGGTAGCATATGATTGTCCTCCTTTGACATCCTTTGACTGACCCGCCTGCTCTTCAATCTCCTGCACGCGCCTCTGCAGCCCCAGAATCTGTTGCTGCAATGACCTGGAGATCCAGTGCTGCTCCATGGCAAGTGTTTGAAAGGAAACAACTGTTAGGAGCAACCGATTGGAAGCTCCAGCACCCATTTACGACGTTGAGGTTCAAACGTCTTCTCTCCCTTCAGAGTGGTGATTTGCTGCTGCAAGCCTGCTTTATGGCAAGTGAAAAAGTCATACGGTGAAGAAAACTCTTCTGCAGCTAGATAATTTCGCCAGGAGCACGTGAGTTCTCCGCCTTTTGCTGAGCAAAGTGCCGCTTGACTTCATCCTACAAGTGTTGAAATGCGTGGTGATCCAGTGTCCTTTTGCTCTTTCTGTCTTCCTCAACTGACAAGCACTGCTGGACTTCATTTTCTGGACTCAAAGTCCTGCAAACGTTGAACGTCTCCGACCATGGTCTTCTTGAGCTCTTGCAACTGCCCCTGGTAGTGCTCCTGGCAAAATGGTACACAATGACTGGGAAGAACCGCAAGCTGTGAAATGTATGAAATTCAGTCCACGCAATTGCACCCCCAGCCTCAATGCCAGCCTTGTCTCCGCGAAGACTTTCAATCTCCTGCCAACTGTGGCGCCAAGTGGTCTGCTTGCAGGTAACACTCCGCTTGGTCATACAAACAGAAGCAAGACCAGGACACGGAAGCTCATGTAAGTAGTATTGGTCCTGACGCTGTGCCGCCAGCTCTTCATTTTGCATGGAGATGAAGTCCTGAAAGGAAAATCATGCGACAGCTACTTCAGGCTCGCAAAAGGAATCCATTTGCATCGACGGCAGATCACGCTTCTCGATGCCCTATGCTCCCACTGCACTGAAATGACTGTATCTTGCCTCCAGAGCAGCCAGCTTTCCCTTGAGCCCTGTAGGGGCAATGCTCCCCATGGTGGCGTCCATGGCCTGAGAGGAGTGTCACCAATCAATTTTTGCCAGGGGGGTAGGCCGCGAGTAGAGGTGAGGTAGCTAGTAGCTAGAGGTAGGTAGCTAGTAGGAACTGAGGTAGCTACTACCTGCAAGTAGCTACTACCTTGGACGCAGGATAGCTCGCGCAATGATGCTTTGGTTCCTTGATTTTTAGGGAAACTTAACTTGTCACTTCTGTTGACCCAGCGACAGCAACACTGTTCTTGCAGGCTGTGCAGCAGGCGTTCTTGTTGGGGAGGCGCAGAAAATCCAACTCTTTGAGCCCGTACCTGGTTCCCCTCAGAAGTCCGGGCCCATGTGTTTAAGCTGTTTTCCTGTTTTCCATGCGAACAATGCTAACCGCACGACAAACCGCTGTCCAACTCGCTGATGCATCACTCTCGACTCTCCTTGCTCCTGATGCACGAGCCAACAGGCAGATCTTGCGCCATTTCTTCTCTTTGCACTTCCGATCGTGAGCACTGCTGTGAAACAGGGAGTCTCGATCCCAGGGAGTCTCGAGTGATTCTCAAGCTCGCTCTGGTTTTTTGGGGGCCTGGGAACTGCCTTCAGATTTGTTCATCAAAGCTGTCCCAAAAGGACTCTGGCGAGTCTGCAGATTTATAAGGAATTCATGAAATCTCACGGACTGGAATAAGTTCGATCTGCTGAAAACTGGACGACTTCGAAGGGTTTCAGGGCCTCACTGAAGAGAAGGCCGTTCGAAGGCATGACTTCTGAGTGGCTGTTTAGCAATGAAGCAGTGAACTGGTGGAAGGAATAGACCCATGGAACCATGATGGACACGTGAGGGAGCATTGATAGATCAATATCATAACCGGCACATAAGTGCACATCAATTCAATCAGCCACAAACGAGCATCTACGAGCGGTTCAAAGGCAAAAGTTGAACATGAACAGAACATAAAATAAGAGTTGAGTTATAAAACAAATATTTGTCTTAAGTCAACCACACAAGCCGATGATTGGCCTGCATTTCATTGGCGAAAACCTTTGAATCATTTGCGAACGCAATGGGCAAAGGCCAGGAAACGTCCTGCCATACCTGCCAGAAGCAAAGCCCTTCTGAAATATGAGGATCAGCAGAGCACTGGACTCCAGTTCCATGGCTTGCTTTCGTGTAGTATAAGGCTTTAAACAAAAGTCTTCGGTGTTAAGCGCTGTGAGATCGACTGAATCCACCTCAATTGTCGCATCCTGAGTCCGATTATGACCTAAGCGAAGCAAATATGCAGACGAACGACAGAGACTGTGCTGAGGAAGCCACCAGTGAACATTGCTCTTACCTCAACTCAAACAAAAGACAGGGAACAAAGAGATATATAAACCAAATATCATCCGCATGGCAATAGGTGGTAACGTTGATGATTGTCAGCCAGTGTATTGTCTTTGCTGCTTTTACACCAGGTGAAAAGCACAAGACATTCGTTCTGGGTTTCAAATACGCCAGTGCTTGCGCCAACGCGCATTCAGAAAGCCAGCTTTAAGCTGTCATCTCAAAAAAGCGCTTTTGGAATGGAATACAGCCCGGCAGTCACAACAAGCCGACAGTCTAAGGGAGAAAGCAATGGAAAACCAAAGCTTTACTCAAATATCAAATCAATGTAGATCATCGGTCACACAGCAGGAGAGACATCTGTCATGCCATGATTCTGCCAAAAATGTCTCCACCTTCTTCGTCATAGAGGTCCTGAGTGCACCACTTGATTGAATCCAGCATCGAAAAAATATTGGCACCCAACCACACCTGATACTCACGTTCTGCTGCCGCCTTGACCTTCACGCTGGAGACTATTGAATGGCGTTCATTCAGCTCCTTGTTCACTTCCAGATTTAAGCGAGCACCATAATTGTGGAACTTGGAGTTGCCACCCACAAGAACCACATTGGCCGCCAGGCTCTTCTGAGACTCAGGCGCGGCTTTCAAGAGCGTGTCTGCAACCATTGATTGGATTGATTCGTACTCGCATTTCTCCATCAAGCAAACAATGTTTTCACAAGCTTTGGGGTCGAAGAGGATGTTGGGCGCTTCAATTCGACATTCGAGGGGCACATGTACCTCTCCACGTTGCAGTTCCATTGTAACGCCCTTTCCGTCCTTCCTCTCCTGTTCCATATCTTCTGGTATGTAGCATGCAGTGCGTTTGACCAAGTCTACTTCGTCGTCAACCTCTGGCAATCGCTCGTGGATCCAAGCTGATACATCCTGACCTCCCAACTCCACAAACTTGTAGGTGTGGCTGAGCAGAGCTCCTTCAACCACTGCAACTGATCTCGTTACTGAATAGCCAGAGTCCACAACAATGCCTGTGGTCATCCCTGTGCTGAAAAGAGCTGCCGTTTCTTGGTGGATAAAATTCACTGCAGCGACCTGAAAGGATCGAAGAATGTGGAGGCCATCGCTAATAGGTTGGAGGCCATCGCTATTAGGTTGGGGGCCATCGCTAGTAGGTTGGAGGCCATCGCTAGTAGGTTGGAGGCCATCGCTAGTAGGTTGG